ATATCCCGATCTATCAATATCATGTCTTGATTCATCACAAGGCCAATTCTGCAGTCCTCATTATATCCCAACACAGCTAAAATTGCGTCATAATACTTGTGCACTATTTCAAGCATCTGGGTGGCTGCTTGAGAACTCCCTTTAACGCCAATAAATTCACTTTGTATTTTAAATTGATCTAGAATGCCTGATTATTGTAATTGTTAATATGTAAGCTTGAATATTCCTTAGATGAAGCATAAATATTGCTATCATGTATAAAACTTTATTTTACCGTAAGAGCTTGTGATCTAAATAGCGGAACCGATTACTGATCAGGTTTGGAATCGAAAGCATGTTAAACTTGCCAAACGGTCGCAAATTGACCAGAGTTATAAGTAATTGGTTTTGCTATTTAGATCAATCACAATTAGCCCTGATGACACAATTTATTGTATTGTTTCTTTCAAATCGACGCAAGTCGATAGATTGAAAAGATGCTGAGCAGGGGAAGGTAACACTGTGATACCTATGAATAAACAAGTCCAAATCGATACAATCAAGTTAAGGGGCAGTATTCGCGTAAGCAGATTCAGGTGAGTATGAGTTTAATAACCTTCCAGATGCAGTAATGATTAATCTAATAAAGACCACTCGAGAACAAAGACAAAGACAGAGCGCCAACAATTGCCTCCTCAGCTCTAGACCACGATTCACAATGAGCAAGAGAGTGAAGCGTAACATGAGTCATATTAGGATTGATGGAAGCATCACATTGGAGAAGACAGTAGAATCGGTAGAACTATTTGGCAGTCAGCATCAAGAATTCCAAAGAGAAGGAACGGGAATAAACCCACAGATGAAAAAATATGTAGACACTATGATCCAGGCAACAGCAGCATCAATAACACAATCAATGTGACAATATATGGTCCAATAGCTCGAGATCCAAAGGAAATAAAATATGCAGTGCATGAAAACAATAAACAGGAGATTCACACAATTAGAACAAATGAATCTACCAAGCAGTGAGAATAACGATAAAAATAATAACAGACAAGCTTCAACTATACAACAACTGGCAAGTCAGAATCAGGAGTTAGGACAACAAACAAGACAACAGGCAGTAAGCACAGAAGGTGAATCAAACCCAACTCAAGGTAACTATCCACCCATTCCAATAATTAATAATTTGTTAGGGAGTAACCCCGAAGTGCAAAGTATGGAGAGGTGGTATGAAAAAGAGTTGGTAAGGTACAAGGTGACAACGAGAAAATTTCTGGCAATAGATTATACAACAATAAAACAACTTCCAGTAGTTCAAAGAATAAGCAATCCAAAAGCTGTAGAGACAGAATGTATTCGCTTATAGTGGATTATGAATTGGGCTGAGGGTCAAAAAGCAATCGAAATGCTTCTTCAAAAACCAAGCATACCTAACAAAGTTTGGAAAGCACTAGCCTTCAGTTCATTTGTAAATCTACAGGAATTTGTATACAAAAATATAGTTGATAACATAAAGCATATGGATGATGATACAGTATTACAAACAACAGAGAATGGGATTATAGCAGTAAGAAAGAGAAACTAAAATAACTCATTTCAAAATATATCTGAATGGATGTTAGCTTTCAAAGCATATATGGATGCAGTGCTTATATTGTATAAAAATCGTGAATTTGAACTAAATTCATACAGAGATTATATAAATGAGTTATGTATTAAGTACGATTTTCAGGCTGTGTTGGGATATAATGAGGACTGCAGAATTGGCCTTGTGATGAATCAAGACATGATATTGATAGATCGGGATAT